GATATCACCGAAAACATTCCTTGAACCTTCCCGCTAAGATACTATGAATTTTTCCCATTTGAGTTTCAAGGTTCCTTATAGCGGATTGATTTTGCAACAACTTCATATTTCTGAAGTTGAGCTTCATTCTTGTCAAATCTCTTACCAGATTCCTCCATAAACTTTGTAAGCACATCCCCCAATTTGATTTTGCCTCGAACTTGAAAACCAAGAGGTGGTTTAGGATAACTGTTGTTACTCCAAGAAAATTTGGATGGTTTTGCCATGCTGGAGTATATGTATTAGAGTATGTCTGTTGCTTTCCTTGAAATTGTTGACGTAATTTGCTTGTTGAGTGGAGCAAATGGATTCCCTACTTGACATCCTCTTGCACAATGATTCCCTGCACAAAATCACAAGTTAGAGAATAGTTTCAATAGATTTACCTTTAAGGCAACTCCTAATTGCTTTTGGATGGTTGAAAATTGAGCAGCCAACGCGGTGTAGCCACAACTTCTGCACTCCCACGCTTTCCTTGTTGATTTCTCTCTGAAGGCCCATGTAGTTATTGCTTGCCATCACTTCAATCAAATTAAGGCTTCCTCTAGTGTTTTGTATTCAAGGCTCCCCCACTTGCAGCATCTACCAGGGCTTGTATATTTGGCATCACCCATTGTAAAATGTTTGCACTGCCACCATATTGGTAACCCATGATGAGGACAACCCATAAAGATACTTTATCTCTCCCAAGCTTCATAAAGCGACTCCATATCTTGCTGGAAAAAATTTGTGATGTCAACCCTCATCTTGGCAGACTTGATCGGTGGAAAATACTTCGCAAGAACGCTTGAACTAACTCATTCCATAGTGATGCTTCCGGGTGGTAGAGAAATTAACCAAGCCTTATCTTTATCCCGAAGAGAGAATGGGAAGCCTTAACCTAATTGCATCATCAGATACCCATTATGTCGGAATGTATCGCATAGCTCCAGAAAATTTGCAATATGCAAATTAGGGTCATCGCTAGACACCCTACAAGTTGAATCTAATGTTGTATCATCTGAATAATGTCTGCTTTATCTCGGGTATTTGCTTGAATCGATGGTCTCCTAATATAAAAGCACATCCCTCAATTGTAGGCTTGAGTAATCCTTAATGCCCTTTGAACTTCTTCTCCCGTATCTGTCATTTAACCTACCTCCTCTGTACGGTCCAACACTAAAAATACAGAAATAAAATTAAGCACTAAAAACAAAAAAATAGATAAATAAAAATAAAAACAAAAAAATTACAACCAATTAGCAACTAATAGCTTGTATTGATATGATAATAAAGCAATTTCCCGGAAACAGCGCCAAACTAATTGCAGGAATTTGCAATCTCCAAAGAACAGCTGAACTTCTCTCCCTTCTAATCTCCATAAAAATCAACTAAAGACATCTATTTATACTCCTATGGTTTTAGGGTTATGATTCCCACTATCCTAATCACTTTAAAAATCTTAAAACAAGAAATACACGTCATAAATTTAATGTAAAAAAAGTCCAAAATCGCAGTTGTGCCGCGGCACTGTGCTTAGGCATAGTTGATTCTGCCCCAGAATTTGAAATCTTGAAAAGACGGTGGTTTTTGAGCATGATAACGTTCGAATCTTGCCAAGTGGTAAACATATGAATTGTATCCCTTTGAATCAGATTTCCAAAGGCTCAAGAATCATCTCAATCCAAAATCTACAGCTCAAGTTATTGTTAAATTACTGTTGCATGTTCAAAACTGGAGCGTTTTCCAGGATTTTCACTTTAACTTCAAATCGCCCTAACTTCTTCGTTTCAGCTTCGAATCACAAACCATTTGATTCTTGTCATCCCACATTCCATCGTCGATATAACCTTCATCTGAATATCATCTTTAAGAACCTGAAAATTCTCAAAACATACCTGTGATCTTATAAAAGACATTTATGAAATAATTAAGTTAAATTTCACAAATTAAACACATTTTTTCCACAAATAATCCAATTGAATCACTAACAAAATATGTATTTTCAAGCTTTTATCACCACCCCCAATCAGCTTCTTGCTAGTCCCTAGCAAATTAAGTGATAAAACATGTCTTTAAGCTTGAAAATAAAACAAACAATGAAAACCTATATCTAAACTATCCTAAGTCACTTTTGTAGATTGACACGATTGCATTTAGCGTATGCAACAAGCCTTTAAACCCCTAGGTGGCCCTAGTTGGATGAGTTGTAGTCTCGTGAGGGTTTCTAGCAATGATACCCATAAACATCCAAACCTAACCTCACCTAGACTCAAAACTAAAGACTCAAACAAACATTTTAGGATCCATACATATAATCGTCTTAAAAATTGTGTCAATGTGAACAAATCGAATAATTAACAACACAGAAATGCAAAGAATAAGTGAATTTAAACTACACTTTAGTTATTGACCCTCTCATAATCATTCACAAACCATTCATCCAAAAACGTAGATGATTTTATGCATAGCTTCCATAGGCAAAGTAAGAAAATAAAACAAATGTACAATCAAACTCCATAGGCTCACTTTTCAAACCACTCTCCACTAATGTAGAATCCAATCACTACCTCGGATTATTAGGTCTTTTTCATGGTTGTAATGTTAGGCTAGGGTAATGGTTTATGAAAGAACGGAAATAAATTTTTAACAAAATGTAAGAGACTTAATATTTTACAGTAAACAACCATGGACAATCTCTTTCTTGTTTCCCTTCTCATTCACCCTTTACCCTTTCACATTGATTGAACTCTTCTTTCCAACATTAGCACAAACCCTCATATAATGTACCTCATTTCAAGTTCTTCTCCCCAGCTATTTCTTCCTATTTTTCTGCAATTTTTTTTTTTCATTCATTTCTTTCTTTCTTTTTTTTTTTTTTTGGAAGATAGTAACTCATAAAAAAAATTGTCTACCTCACCTTGCTTCTACTATCAATTTTTTATCCTTTTCACAACCTCCAACCTATCTCATTGCACATACTCAGGTTGTGGTTCAAAAGATATATTTATTTTATTCTACCACACTTCTTTTCATGAGTTTTTCTTCTAAGGTCATCTCAAATTAAGTCTCTCACAATAAGATGGATCGGAAAGTGTTTTAGGCTTCATCATCGAGGTGAGATATAGTGGGTTTAAAACAAAAAAGGCTTATCAAGTGTATATATATGCTCAAAAGGGTTAAGTAAATATAAAATAATATAGGTCGGTTTGAAAGGTTCAATCGTTCCAAAGAAAATTGCCTAAATCATATTCTAAGCAATGCAGATTCTAGGATTTCACCTCAAGTGGTTATCAAATGAGTTCTAGAGTTTATGCACAATTTTCACAAAAAAAAAAAAAAAAATTATTTCCCATAAAAACACACACAAAACGTCTCTAAGTTCCCGAATTACTCAACCAATCAAATCCATTCCCAAGAGAGTCATAACTAAATGCAATTGTCATCTACTATCATCTTTACAATACGCGAAAGTTAATAAAATCTCAATCTCACAAATTCACAATCATGGTCTTATCATTGACTTATGTATGAGTTCCAAAACAAAACAAAATATATTAACTCTTTGACCTTGCAACACACCTAAAAAAATTCCACCCAAAAGCTTTTAAAGAGATAATTCAAAGCAAAAGATATTCAAAGATGTCCATTGAATGAAACTAAATTTGGCCATAAAAAAAATATTCCTTACCCTTAACGTTAGAGATGACCATTATCCTCAATGTGCAAGGAGAACAACTACAATACTTTTCATGCGTAACATTTATGTGGAGGTAGTCTTGTGAAGCCATGCATATTGTTTGTTGTATCCAATAGTCATCGGGAATCTAGTCAAAAGAAAACAAACTATGCGCCTTTCTTGGCCAATTTAGTGTGCATAAAAGAAATTATGGGTGAAACATAAACAACTAACATATCAAACCAAACCAAAGTTATCACAACTTAACACATTAAACAAAAATCTAAAATAAATTCAAAACAAAAACCAAAATTAAAGTAAAGAGCTTGGGTTGCCTCCCAAGAAACGCTTTATTAGAGTCGTAAGCTCGACTTTTCAAATCCTTCAATCTGGATCATCTAGGAAAATCCAAACCCTTTTATCCTTCAGTCCACCATACACATAAGGCTTCAATTGTTGTTCATCTACCCTCTCAAATTCAGCCTCCATAATCCTAGAGTTGACTAAACAATTTTCTAGGGGTGAGCTAGGGTAGTTTTCTTCTAAGGTTTCCGCTACTTTGTCATCAAGGATGCTAATCTCAAAGCAAGTATCTAACTTGGATGGCATTTCATCGTGTTAAAAATATTGAACTCCACTTGTTCGTCTTCCACCCTTAAGATTAGTTTACCTTGGTGTACATCTATTAAAGTCCTACTTGTTGCTAGAAAAGGCCTTCCTAATATTAAAGTTATGTTCTAGTCTTCTTCCATTTCAAGAACTACAAAATCTACCAAAAAGATAAATTTGTCTACCTTTATTAGGACATCCTCCACCACCCCCCTAGGATATGTTATGGATCTATCTGCCAATTGAAGATGAATTGTGGTTGGCTTCACCTCTCCTAAACCAAGTTTCCTGAAAATAGAAAATGGCATCAAGTTAATGCTAGCTCTTAGATCACATAAAGCTTTATCAAAATAAAAACTACCAATTGTGCAAGGAATATTAAAACTCCCTGGATCTCTTAATTTCAGTGGTAGTTTCTTTTGAAGCAACACGCTACATTCCTCAGTGAGCATGACCATCTCATGTTCTTTAGACCTCCTTTTGTGTATAAGGATCTCCTTGAAGAACTTAGCATACTTCAACATTTGCTCTAACATATCTACAAAAGGAATATTTATGTGTAAGCTTCTAAACATATCTATGAACTTACCAAATTGCTTGTCTAATCTTTGTTTCTATAGTCTATAAGGATACGGAAGAGAGGCTTCATCTTTCTTCACGTCTTAGGCTTTATTCTCAAGTTCTGGTTTTGTGCCTAGGCATTGTGTTGAGGCATTATTGGTTTTGTCCAATTTGTGTCTTCAGCTTTTTCCTCAGTTTCTTTAGTTTTTCTTGATTCTTTTAGGTCCTTGCCACTTCTCAACATGATGGCATTGAGTTGCTCTTTTGGATTCTTCTCGATATCACTCGAAAACATTCCTTGAACTCTTCCCGCTAAGATACTATGAATTTTTCCCATTTGAGTTTCAAGGTTCCTTATGGAAGCGGATTGATTTTGCAACAAGACTTCATATTTCTGAAGTTGAGCTTCATTCTTGTCAAATCTCTTACCAGATTCCTCCATAAACTTTGTAAGCACATCCCCCAAATTTGATTTTGCCTCTTGAACTTGAAAACCAAGAGGTGGTTTAGGATAACTGTTGTTACTCCAAGAAAAATTTGGATGGTTTTGCCATGCTGGAGTATATGTATTAGAGTATGGATTCTGTTGCTTTCCTTGAAAATTGTTGACGTAATTTGCTTGTTGAGGTGGAGCAAATGGATTCCCTACTTGACATCCTCTTGACAAATGATTCCCTGCACAAAATTCACAAGTTAGAGAATGAGTTTCAATAGTATTTACCTTTAAGGCAACTCCTAATTGCTTTTGGATGGTTGAAAATTGAGCAGCCAACGCGGTGTAGCCATCAACTTCATGCACTCCCACTGCTTTCCTTGTTGAATTTCTCTCTGAAGGCCTCATGTAGTTATTGCTTGCCATCACTTCAATCAAATTATAGGCTTCCTCTAGTGTTTTGTTATTCAAGGCTCCCCCACTTGCAGCATCTACCATGGCTTGTATATTTGGCATCAACCCATTGTAAAATGTTTGCACTTGCCACCATATTGGTAACCCATGATGAGGACAACTCCATAAGAGATACTTATATCTCTCCCAAGCTTCATAAAGCGACTCCATATCTTGCTGGAAAAAATTTGTGATGTCAATCCTCATCTTGGCAGACTTGATCGGTGGAAAATACTTCGCAAGGAACGCTTGAACTAACTCATTCCAAGTAGTGATGCTTCCGGGTGGTAGAGAAATTAACCAAGCCTTATCTTTATCCCGAAGAGAGAATGGGAAAAGCCTTAACCTAATTGCATCATCAGATACCCCATTATGTCGGAATGTATCGCATAGCTCCAGAAAATTTGCAATATGCAAATTAGGGTCATCGCTAGACAACCCTACAAGTTGAATCTAATGTTGTATCATCTGAATAATGTCTGGCTTTATCTCGAAGGTATTTGCTTGAATCGATGGTCTCCTAATACTAGAAGCACATCCCTCAATTGTAGGTCTTGAGTAATCCTTAAGTGCCCTTTGAACTTCTTCTCCTCCTGTATCTGTCATTTAACCTAACTCCTCTGTACGGTCCAACACTAAAAATACAGAAATAAAAATTAAAGCACTAAAAACAAAAAAATAGATAAATAAAAAATAAAAACAAAAATAAATTACAAACCAAATTAGCAACTAAATAGCTTGTATTGATATTGATAATATAAAAGCAATTTCCCGGAAACAGCGCCAAAAACTTGTTGTAGATTTTCGTAAGTGTACGAAATCGTGCAAGTAATAAAGTGTAAGAATACGGATGTCTAACCCAAGGGAATTACTAATACCAAGTACCACTATCTTATTGCTATTTGATTAATTAGATTTTCAAAATGATTCAATGAAAAATAAAACAAGTTAGAAACAAAACAAAAACAGACTTTTATTAATACTTTAGTAGGAAATCAATACGACTAAACCTAGGGCATAGATTTCACACCAATTAATCTTATGCATTGACAATTATTGTTAACCCAATTAAGCTTATTCTAAAGACCAAACTCTCTAATATTTTTGCTAACTTTCTCTCGAACAATTAACAAATTAACTCCTAATTACTAACCCGAATTATCTCTAATCAGATTTAAGTAATGGGAGATCATTAAGTTCTATGGAATTTACCAGAGCCTCATAAATCGTGGTAACCTATCTCTAGCGTTCGCTAAATCTATAGTTTTATTACCTTAGACTAATTAGGTTTTATCTCTCGATCTCAACCTAACCCATAAAATCATTCAACTCTAGGGCCCTTAAGAATTGAAAGCATATAACTTAAAATAAAACTTAATAAAAATTAGCAACAAATAATTCAATGCATATTCATAAAATTGGGCTACATCTTAGCCCTAGAAAATAAAATTAGTTCATACTTTCAGTAATAAAAGCTATTGCATTCATAAACATGTGTATAAGAAAGAGTAGAAAAACTTCTCTAATTGGTGACTCAAAATTGCAGGAATTTGCAATCTCCAAAGAGCAGCTGAACTTCTCTCCCTTCTAATCTCCATAAAAATCAACTAAAGACATCTATTTATACTCCTATGGTTTTAGGGTTATGATTCCCACTATCCTAATCACTTTAAAAATCTTAAAACAAGAAATACACGTCATAAATTTAATGTAAAAAAAGTCCAGAATCACAGTTGTGCCGCGGCATTGTGCCTAGGCATAGTTGATTCTGCCCTAGAACTCGAAATCTTGACAAGACGGTGGTTTTTGAGCATGATAACGTTCTAATCTTGTCAAGTGGTAAACGTATGAATTGTAGCCTTTGAATCAGCTTTCCAAAGGTTCAAGAATCATCTCAATCCAAAATCTACAGCTCAAGTTATTGTCGAATTAATGTCGCATGTTCAAAACTGGAGCGTTTTCCAAGATTTTCACTTTAATTTCAAATTGCCCTAACTTCTTCGTTTCAGCTCCGAATCACAAACCATTTGATTCTTGTCGTCCCACATTCCATCGTCGATATAACCTTCATCTAAATATCATCTTTAAGAACCTGAAAACACTTAAAACATATCCGTGATCCTATAAAAGACATTTGTGAAATAATTAAGTTAAATTTCACAAATCAAACACATTTTTCCATAAATAATCCAATTGAATCACTGACAAAATATGTATTTTCAAGCTTTTATCAGTCTGCTCCATTCTAGAGGAGCTTTATGTTGTAAATGGGTTATTATCTTTATCCTGCTTGGATTGAAATATCAATGAAGAAGAATATATGAATGTAATTTCTTACTGCAGCCCCACTATTTTTTTTCAATACACTGCATTGTTTGTGAGCTGATCCTCTAATGATTTGCATCAAATTTGCCTGAATCAAATGCTTTGAAACTAAAGACTCCAAGATGCTTACTTCAAAGTCCACAATTGTGAATACAGTAAGTTGGAGAAATTGTTAGGAATCTTAAACGTCATTGTTTGTGTGATCTGGAACTATTAAATGATTAAAAGGATATCACTTGCTTCTGTTTTCAGACAAACTGTAGGCTCTTTCTTATACTTTCTCATCTTGTTTATGTAGTTCACTCATTATGTGCAAAGATTCAAATGACGTAATTATTGTTTGATATGGGGCCTGGCACCAACGTGCATACTTCCAGACCTATGTCAATCTCATTTAAGGTAGTTCTCCTCAACATCAATTTTCTGTCATTGATTTCAGTAGCATTGTTCTTTATCAAATGCAAATAAAAGGTTAGAGATAATTAGATGACTGAATTTATGTATGCTGGTAGTTCAAAATCTATGAATGTAGTTTATTATGTAATCTCTGCTTAATCAACTAAATTGTAGGCACAAAGGGCTGCTTAAGAAAAAAATTCTGTTTTACAAGCTTGGCTAATGGCTGATCAGCATAGGGATAGGCAAGTGCCATTGGAACTTTCATTTGTGCGAGATTTTCAGAGTTTATCAACTGTGATATTTAGCATGGATTCATCATACATGAAGGCCTTATTTTATTAGTAGAATTTACAGCTATCCTTATGCCCTTCCTTTTTGTTAGAGAAACCAGGAATGAGCTTATTATTTTGCCTTCGCAGAGATTGTTGGATGACCTTTAAGTGGTACATGATGGCCTTATTTAAGAGCTAGAATTTGAAGCCATCCTAATCAATCCCCTTCTTTGTTAGAGAAATTAGGAATAAACTATTAATTTGCCTTCACTGAGATACTAGCGGATGGCCTTTTAAGTGGTAGATTTTGAAGCTATCCTAGTCAAACCCCTTTATTATTTTTAGAGAAACTTGGAATGAGCTGTTATGCATCCTTCACTGTGATATTGTTGGATAGCCAATCAAGTCCCTCATAAAGTCCTTGGCCGGAGGTTGCAGAAGTACTCTGGATATACCTATACAAGATAATTCACAAAAGCCATCAATCAATCTATTTTTTTATACTGTCTGATGTGTAACTGCCATGCGAGCTGATCAAACCTGTGGCACAACTAGAGACATTAGTTAAATACATTACCATATACCCCAAGAGGAGAAAAATGAACATAACCAGAGGGATCCCCAGTATTAGAATTGTAAAACAAACCACATGAGAACAATGTAAGAAGAAAGAGAGTACAGAGCATAGTATAAAAATACAAGCTTCAAAGTCAATCAAAATAAATAAAAAGAACAATAGAATGAAACCAGATTCCAAAATATAAATACAGAAACTTGTAGGCTACTAATTGTAGTATTTCAACTAAATGGAGGTCTTAGAATATAAATTTTACCAGCGACGTTGGCCGAGAGAGTGAAGCCCAAGTTTATCAGCAACCTCAGAAGCAGGCATGGCATCCTGAAAATCTTGCTTGTTGGCTAAGACGAGCACAGTTGCCCTGCTTAGCTCATTCTGCATAATGGGAATGAAAAGCATGTCTTTCTTTTTAAATAGAGTTACAGAAAATACAGAACATATTACACTGGAGAGAAACCTAAGTGATTATTTTTTTTAGACTCTATATGCGATTTAGAAAGGAACAAGAAGGGAACCCATCAAAGTGCCTAAGAAATTCTAATGAAAGCTTGTTCTTGTATTTACAAATGAAAATTGAAAAGTTGATTTTCACAACATGGAGTACTAACATCACCCAGAATCCGATGTAGCTCGTTGCGGGCTTCTGAGATTCTTTCTCTATCTTTGCTATCCACTACAAAGATAAGTCCTTGAGTGTTCTGAAAGTAATGTCTCCATAATGGCCGAATCTGTTCAGTAAATTGGAAGACCTCAGTTATGATATTACTAACCTCAATCACAAGATAATTATCAGACTTTACACTTCCTTCTTTTATTGTCTTTTTCATCAAGGAAACGCAACCACAACTACACTGCAGTAATCAATATCAATCAAACGAAGTATTCAATTTGTTTTAAGAGGAAATTAAACTTTTGTGGGAACAAAACTAATCTTTTGAACATCTTAAACATTAAATAACAGTATTTTTGTTATTTCCTTCCTTTTCTGTGGCTTGTACAATTCTTTCAAACTTCAGTTCACCTTTCGATCGAAATACTGTTATAAGATTTGTTTGATTGAATTCCGGTTAACTACTGGATCAAATCTTTTTATGTATATAATGAAGCTAATGACATTAGCTTATGTTTACCTGACTTTGACCTCCGACATCCCAGACAGAGAAGCTTATGTTTTTGTACTCAACCGTCTCTACATTAAAACCTGGCATGGAACATAAACAAAACAATGAACCAAATTAGATGGTAAATTCAAAACTTATAAATTTTAAAAGAATTTTTTTTTTTTTTTTTTTTTTTTTTGGGTGGAACATCTTAAATTCACAATTACTTCTGTAGAAATTACAATGAGTTAATAGCAAACGAAATTATTGTTCCTTGACCATTTTTGGTTATTGGGTTAGTTTTCTATCACTGCAATAAAGCTGAGTCTTCATTTTTCCAAATCAGATGGTTATATTTCCCAATCTTCTTCTGACTGGCTCCTACAGAACCAAGGTCGAAAAGATGGAGAAAAATCAGTCATTCACAACCACTAATGAAGGATTCCTCGAAAAGTTAATGATTAGTTTAGTAATCATTTTTACAAATCGAATGAATTTGATCTTTTACATAAGCGAGGAAGATAATTAAAAAAAAAAAAAAGACAAGTTCTTCTTTACTTTTATTACTTAGAAGCCATGCGAGATGAGAGTCTCATGCACAGTTTTAAATGAGAAAGAAGTGAAGAATTCTCTTTGCTGACTCTGACTCTGCCACTTATTTGTATCCAGGGCAGCCATGGATACCCAACAATGAGAGAAATGAAAAACCAACATAGCAAGAGAGATACTGAACGATATAGAGAAGCCAAAGAAATTACTAAATTTAAGAGTTTGTAAGATATATTAATATACCGACTGTTGGTACAGTTGCAACAATTTCTCCGAGCTTCAGCTTGTATAGAATGGTCGTCTTCCCAGAAGCATCAAGACCCACCATCAGAATTCTAATTTTACACTGGGGAAAAAACCTCTTTGCAAGTCGAGATATATGTTTACCCATACCACAATAAACAAGAAGAAAAATTTCAGGTGATAAACAACTTTATTTCAAGAAGAAACGTGAAATTTTATTTTTCCTGCAGGACAATCTATCAAGGTTATAAAGATATAAGAAAAAAAAATTCCTGAGCTCCAAGAAAATACCTCCTAGGTAATGCATGAATGGCTGAAAAGAATAAGTTCTGAAAGAAGTAAAGAATGATTTTCCTGTTGTCCTTTCTGACTCCTAAAAGTAGTTGGTTTCCATACCGCAGGAGAATTTTCAACTCAATGGTGGAAATGCTGAGATTCTGTGTGCTGTATTGCTATGAAAACAATATATTTGAACTTCTAGAAAAGCAGGGTTTACACTTGTCCAGGCTTCAGACAAAGATTGACTAAAAAGATCCCCCAGTAAGCACCATGAATGATGCTCCCACTAGCTGATTGCCAGCAGATCATGTCAAAGACAAAACCAATATATAACCAATTTGTTACATCATGAAACAATATCACTTGTTTTTTCTCACTGCCAATCAATTTCGTTTCTCAAAGTATCAAAAAGATAAGCTTATACAAACATATGATGATTCAATCAATTTTTGCTTTATATAATGAAACATATGTCAGTTATATGTAAGGAAGAGAAAAATTGCAGAGGAAACCTTTCACATAAATTAAAATTCCATTATTAGTACATTTTCGAGTGTTGACATTGAGACAAAATTACAATTAATGAACAAAAATGTAACTATATGTATCTTCGACCAGGCTTTACAAACACCAAAAAGTAACATCAAGGGGATCAATCTTTAGAGGCAGATTGGAAGATGAATACTGCAGTCAAAACACCAACTAATGCTGTAACTCCCAAGGCTGCTGTAGGCAAGGGTGTTGTGAGCCCAAAATTCTGCAAAACATAAAATGGACATGGATGTGATAAGATAAATTGCTCATAAGTATTTTTATATTCTTTTGAGTTGAGTCATGAGTACAAGTTCATTTGGGAACTGTGACATAATTCCAGGCAAGGATTTGATATTAACATAAGTTTGAATTGCATCAATCATTTTACTAATGTATAGACCCATCAACCCTTGTTCTCCTCCCTACACGCTCTCCCTCAGCTGGGGAGTGGGGAGGGTTGCTCTGAGTTTAATATTCACCAGGTGAGTGCAAAATATGTCAATCAATCAAGACATAAGCTAAGAGTTTCCAGGAACATTTGGAAGCAGCCAAGCTTTGGCCTTTCCAAGACTATACAGGAAACTGAAAGTGCATTTAGGATTCAACTCAGGTATTTTCATACCATAAGTGTTTAAGGCATCTTTTCAACAGGAAAGGATTACAAATTATTTGTGTAGCACATCGTATTAACCTTGAGCTATAAATGACTCATTGACTCGGAGATCTATTGTGATACTTATAATCGGGTTTGCATCTAGAAAGTATCTTCTAAGCTCAGACTAGGAAGGGAAAGAACATGCCATACCTCCAAAAGTCCCTTGCCTGTTGCTATTTCGACACTAATTGCCAGTGCAAAGCCAACCATTGCAAGCCGACCTAGCCATACATCCAAACTGTTGCCCCCCTGGGTACTTTGCTCACATCTCACTGAAACTGGAGTAGCTTTGCATGAAGGGTTCCTTCGGTGAGAAATTTTCCATGCTATTATAAATAAATGCAAGCATCAAACGTCACGCCTATATTTCTTAGCAAACAAATCCAACATAAGAAGGATGAAAGAATCATAAAGTAGTAGAGATGCATGTTATTGATTGTTTCATGGATAACCAGACCAACTAGAGTAATGTCAGGTTCTTGTATACACAGCTATGGAAGACCTTACGAAAGAAACTGCCAATGCCATCATAACCCAAATGTTCCTAGTTGTTATGATCATATTTTAATCACAATGCATTGATTTTAAAATAAGACACCCTTGTCAACTAATGACAAGGATGTGCATATATACGTAACAAAAAAGGGAATCTAACAATGCTGAGGGTAGTTACTCAAGTCGTGTATGTGGTTAGGTTCATTCAATAAATTTCCAATATAAGTTTATGCCTAACTGAGCAAATATTGTCTGTTTTGAGCCGCACCACATTTACTAAAAGTTAAGAATAAGAAGACTCAAAACTTATGAATTGAACTCCGACTCATTTGCTAGTTATGTGGGATGTGACACAAAGTTCACATGTTCAGTTTCTCATGAACGACCTTACATTTTTTTTTTTTTTTTTTAATTTTACGAAATTTCAGAGGACTAACGGAGAACCATTTATGTCAATTTCCAAATTTAATGGAGTCTCCAAAATTTTAACTTAATCTAAAGAGAGGTAAATGTAAATGAAATTGAACCTGAGCTAAATAAAGATTTTCGCCCCCCGATTTCCTTACATGCCAATATAAACAGATATTAGACAGTTATATATACCTTGTAATTAAAAATACAGCATATTATGAATAAAAGCTGACGGAGAGACAGAAGCAGAGTACTTACAAAGTGGAGAACCAGTGGCAAAGGTAGTTCCAATTCTTACAAGATTCGAAGTGGGTAATCGAGAAGTGCTCTGAGTTTTTGGTGAGCCCAAAGTAAAACCATCTGCAACATAAAAAGCTTGAGTATGAGGTTAATGCAACCGTAGAAAAAGATACACAAAAACTAAACTAGAACCCTACCATGAATGGAGAGGGAAAGAGAGGCAGAGACTTGAGCAAAAGCCATAGAAATGGTACGTTTCGTTTAGTTTGAGAAAGAAAGAGAGAGAGAGAGAGAGAGAGAGAGAGAGGAGGTTGCTTAAGTGGCGCCACGCCACCTCTCGATTTCTATCTACTCAGTTCGTTGCATTACCACCAGACATTCGAAAGACTTCGAAACTAACACGTGTCTTTATTCACTTGGTTTTTTTTTTTTAAATGAAATTTACCAAATTTAAATAAAGATTTACAATTTCTTCAATTAACACAATTTGTTCCGATATATTCTTGTTTGTTTAATTAATCATCTTGACTGGGTGATCGAATGAAGGATTTTTTTGGTGTATTACTAAAAGGTTGTAAATTTGAGTCATTTTTCTATTATTAATAAGGGTATCTATTAGAACTTTTATCTGGCCAGTACCTAGTAGTTTCGGTGTCTTAAGAGATTAATTGAGATGTGTGTGAACTGGCTATTGGAGCTCTTATCCGGTCGATAGTTTGAGAGTCCTAAGAGATTAGTTGAGATATGTGTAAGAGCATCTTCAATAATACTCTTTATTTTGAAGAACATTTTTTATATAAATAAAGAGCATCTTCATTAATTTTAAAATATAAAGAACACAATTTTTATTCAAATCTAATAGACTCTTTAAATTTAATGAAGATGCTCTTTATTTTTAAGAAAGAGACTTAATAGGAGAGCGAATTAATAAATAAAATGTATAAGAACTTATAATTTATTCATTAAAATTATGATAGAGAGAGAAATTTGACTCTCTAAGTGTGGAGAGCCAAATTCACTCTCTAATTTATATTTTAAAGATAAAGAGCCTGTTGAACTCTAATTTTTATGGATAGACTCTTTATAATAAAGAGTTTGGGTCATATAAAGAGTCTTTTGGAGATGCTCTAAGCTGGCCACTAGAGTTCTTATCCGATCGATTGTTCTAGGGTCTAGAAAAATTAACGGAGGTACATGTAAGATGGTCTACAAACCCGATCATTAAAAAATAATATTAATAATAATAATAATTAATCATGTTGAATAAAACAAGGTAACGTAATCAGAAAAATAAGGGGACGTTTGGTTGGAGGTAATAAAAAATTATTAGGGTTACGTCATCTTATATTACTTGATTACCATGTTTGGTTACCAAGTAATATAAGATTATGGTAATCTTGCATTACCAATAGTTGTTACTATTGGTAATAGTGGAGGTAATCTGATTACCTCTATTTTTTTAGGTATTGTAAGATTACCAAGGTAATCTTATTTTTGTTACAATTATATCCCTTAGGGGTTGGATCGGGATAAATAAGATAACGAGGGTAATATTCATTTATTTTGCAAGATTTTCATGTTTAGTTTGCAAATAATAAAATATTACGGTAATCTTTTATTGCAAATAGTGGTTACTGTTGGTAATGTGGGGGGTAATCTTATTACTTTGCTAGAGGCTGTTATTAAAATATTACCGGGTAATATGAATTTTCTTCCCATTTTGCCCTTAATTAAAAGCCATTTTGGACACAATTGCCCTCAAATGTCTACCAAATAACAATTACCCAGCCCCCCATACATTTGAGAAATTAGCTAAAACACCCCAGCCACAAAAAGTTTAAAAGTTAACAAAATTCCCCTAGCCACCCAAGACCACCGTCGGCCGTGACTCACCACCGTCATTCGCTAGTGCCAGTCGCCATAATGGTGCATGATGGTGGGATCTGGCCGGTCATGCGTCGATAAGTCCTTTTTCGAACATGAATCTAGCGTTTCTATGGCCGTTTCACAGCTAAAGATCTAGCATTTTCATTACCAGATCTGTGGCTGTTTCACAGCCACATCTTTGGTCGTGAAATGGCCATAGATATGGCCGTGAAAAGGCCATTGATTTGTGATCCATGGCCATTTTCGGCTTTGTCGGCGCATGGCCAGCCATATATGGCCAGTCGTGGACCATTCTGCCGACTGCCGACGGTGGTGGCTGGCTACCGGCAGTGGCTTGGGGTAGATGGGGGTTATTTTGCTATAAATTAAAGTTTTATATGGTTGTGGTGTTTTAGCAAAATTTCAAATGTAGAGGATTGAAAGAAATGATTCAAAAAATAATAATAAAAAATACTATTATATTAATATTTAGTAATCTATATAATATACCCATCTATTTATCCTCTCAACCAAACATATTATTCACCAATTTATTCAAACCAACCAAACACATTTTATAAACATTCTCAGTAATCTTCAAGGTGATCTTTCTTTCCGTTAATATAATATACCCCTATAATAAAATATTATATGATCCAAACGCCCCCTTATTAATAAAAATTTTAGACAATAATGCCCCTACTTTAAAATAAATTTACATTAATATACCATTTCAATTTTACCTTTGTTTAATTAAATTTTTGGAAAATAATGCTTTATATTTAAAGCAATTTACAGACCACCACTACCACCCAGCCACCACCACCAACAGTCGCCGGAGTCCCTAAAAAAGACCGAGATTTGTGGGAGGCTCCAGGAGGCTTCGATATGGCCATTTCCAGCCTATTGATGGCTGAAAACGGCCAGATCTCTGGCCATTAGCGGTCAGATCTAGGCGAGATCTATTCTGGCCGGAATAGATTTGGCCGATAATGGCCAAGGATCTGGCAAAAAATGGCCAAAATAGCCATCACTATGGCCAGAAACAGCCATATCGGAGCCTTGTGGTCACAATAAGCTACTCACGACGAATTTCGGAGACTTCTGGCGATGGTTTGCGGTGGCGGCAGACGGCGGTAGGGGGTAAGGGGTAGGGATGATTTTGTCATAAATAAAATTTTATATAAGCGGGGGTGTTTTAGCTTAATCTGAAATATGGGGGTTAAAAGAAATTATTCAAAAATTAATAATAAAAAAATATTGTATTAAAATTAAAGAAGGGGACAATTTAGTTATTAAAATAACATATCCACCAATTTATTCCCTCTAACCAAACATATTAATATAAGGCCAATGCTATGTGCACTAACCATTTATACTAATCCAAGTACTTATATTAAAAATTTAAAGTTCCCCCCAAAAAAATAATTCAAATTTTCAATGTTAGTACTTGGATTAGTACAAAATGGTTAGTGCACATAGTATTATTGTTAATATAATATACTCACAAACTAATCAAACACATTTTTCTAAAGATTCTCAATAATCTTCAAGGTAACATAAGATTCTAGTAATCCAACATTCCCTAAACCAAACGCCCCCTAAGTAGTACTTGACTACTCATTGGTAATTTCAATAAAAATAAATATTTTTGTGAAAAAAAAAAACTCATTTAATTTGTAATAATGTATTTAGTATATTCTATTGTTCGTGGTGTCCACATGCGAGTCAGCACTAGGGGTGTTCAAAAAAATGCAAAAACTGAATTGAACCGGAAAACCGGTTAACCGAAAAAACGGTTCGATTACGATTCGAAAAATTCAAAAAACCGAATTTCTAGTTCGAGAAAAAATAAAAAGCGGTTAACCGAAACTGGTTTTACAAATATATATATTTATATATTATATATTAAATAAAAATAAAAATTATATTTTAAATAAATAATAATAATATTATATATTATATATTAAATAAAAAAATAATATTTTTAATGTATTGTTCGTAGCAGTCAATGGATATGTATGAATATTTAATTTTTATTTGGATATGTATTATTTATATTTACAATTTAATTTAGAAAAAAAATAAAAAAATAAGTTTAAAAAAACCGAAAAACCGGTTTTCTCTCCAAACCGGTTTGGTTTGTGTTTGAGAATTTTTCAAACCGAAAAGCCGGTTCGGTTCAAAAAGCAATTAACAGCTGTTGAACACCCCTAGCTCAGTACAGATCTCAATTCTCACACCCATTTTTACTAATCAAGCGCCATCTGTTCCCTCTGGTAATAGCGGTTTCATTTATCCTCCTCCATTTCTCAGTCACTTGCATGCAACTTGTAATAATTCAACCAAAAAAACAAACTTCTTCTTCTTCAACCTTTCGTTTTGATAAAAAAACACCAGCTTTAATGGCTGCCTTATCAATAGGGACCCACTTGTCTCCATTACACCAATTCAAGAAACACTCTCCCTCTTTCACTTCTGTGTCCTCTCTTCACTCCTTTCCTAGCTTTGCTACAATTAGAAGTTCAAGATTGCATCTTCGTAATGGGGTACTTGCTAGAGCTGAAGACAAGGCAGGAGACTCTTCTTCTTCTTCTCCTCAACAACAACCCGACAATCAAAAGCAGCTCCAGGTTCTTTCGTCTCTTTCTTTATTATGAAAACTTCAAAATTTTAAGGATACCATTTGGTTTCATACATTTGCTAAGTTTATGGCTCATTTTTGTTTGTTTGTTAAATGATGTTATCTATCAATCGTTTTGCTTAATGGTTGTGTATTTATGAATTGGGACAAACTCCGGGCCTTTTTTTCACACTCTATTTTAACTGAAGCTTCAATTTGTAGGACTGTCCAATTATTTGTTCGCTAATTTAATGAGTCTGAATGGGTATTTTGGTTGAGAATGAAGAATTGGAAAATGCCTACTTTTTCGCCAAAGTTTCATTTTTTTTAATGGATTTGAATAAAGGGTTTGGTTTAGACTGTATGAATTTGGGTTTAGATTATTGTTAAATGGTGCTACAGATTTTTTATTGAATACATTGGTGAGGTAGAATATGAAAGTTCTGGTTAGTTTTCTGAGGTTCTTCTTCTCAGTTTGAAGTATATTCGTTAGTTTATTAGTTTGGGTTACTTAATACATTTGCGCAGCAGTATTACTAGATTGAATTTTTATCAAAGAGTTTAAATTTTGGTTAATTTTGTGAAGGTAAGATGCTTTTTTGCTGCTTTAGGTTGGCCATTAGTTGCTACAGGTTACTGTTGAAAAATTGTCTAAACTATTGCATAGATGTCTAATTGTATGTGACTCTTTAATTGAAGTGTATGTAGAGCATTTTCTAGTTGGTCATAGTTTGATGATATGTGCATGGATATTTACATATTATCTTGGAGAATTAACATTATTGTGGTGTCTTGCATATTATATGCCAAGTGCATTGCTTCATGTTGACTTTTAGCTTGGAGCAGGACCTGACATCGACATCTCAATCATGTGATCCTTTATGTTCACTTGACGAAACAAGCTCAAGTGAATTTGAAGCCACATACCAGCCAAAAACTGATTTGCTGAAAGCTCTTGCAGTTTTTGCAGCAGCTGCCACAGGGGCAGTGGCTATTAATCACTCATGGGTTGCTGCCAATCAGGTAATCTCTAACTTCAGGTTCTCGGTGATGGCTTAGATACCTTTGACCAGATATTGTCAGTTTCTGTAGACAATTTTTAGTCGATTTAATTGAATTCTTGATACAGGATCTTGCCATGGCATTGTTATTTGTAATAGGTTATGCAGGCATCATTTTTGAAGAGTCTCTCGCTTTCAATAAAAGTGGAGTTGGATTATTGATGGCTGTGAGTTTATGGGTTGTGCGAACCATTGGAGTAAGTTTCATAATTTGTATTGATTACTTGAAATTTACTAATGAGATAATTTATTATTTAGTTGCTTACTTAAATTAATATTCTTACTATCAATTAACTCGATCTGTAATGAAGGCATCATATATCTTTGAAGGCTTAGCATGAATCTGTTGTTTGTTTAACATTTTATGAATTCTATATCTAGGATATAGTGTCATGAATTGAGAGCTTAGTTTCCCCATTATTGATATCTGATTTTTAGATTCTAATTCAAATTGGTTAGATGGCTTTCTAATCAACAATTTTGTATTGATAATGGAATCATTGATTCCATGTTGCTTATAGACAGACCTATTTAATTGGAAATATGGACTGCACAGATGACTGAAAACAGAAAAGAAAACTTGTTAAGTGGAAACATTGACCTCTTCCTCTGAATCTATTTCCTTTAATATATGTTTGGTGACACTGAGAATATTTTCATTTTCTGCATTAGTTACTGTTCCTTGAATTATTGATAACAACTGTGTAAGCTACTAATTAACTTTTCCCTCTTTTATAACACTGTGGGTGTCGACTATTTCTGTTTGATTAATATCCATTGAATTGCAGTTCTTTTTCCTCTTAAATATGTATCTCTAGTTTCTCTGTGTATTGCTTCTTGGCTTTTCACTTGTCTTATTTTCTTATGTAGGCTCCTTCAACTGAAATAGCTGTTTCGGAGTTGTCACATGCATCTGCAGAAGTCAGTGAAATAGTTTTTTTTTTGCTTGGTGCAATGACCATTGTAGAAATAGTTGATGCACATCAAGGATTTAAGCTGGTTACTGACAATATAACTACACGAAAGCCTCGGACACTGCTTTGGGTGGTGGGTGCTCTATTTCTGCTGTCATAACCAGATTGAGAAGTTCTTTCTCCTCGACGTTTCAGATATTGAACTTATTTTTAAAAAAATATACATGTGCAGTGAAGCATGAATGTTTGGTAGTCCAATATTTAGTCCATCTAAAACAAAAATTTGTTTGTTCGGTATCAACAGAAGTTCTGGAAGATTTCATTAGATGAGATAGATTGAAAGCATTGTTTCACTGAATTCAGGTATCTTTGAAAGTTGCTGAGTTATGGTATTTACTGCTTTCCATTTGCAAAGTGCTGCCCACCTGCCATTTTTTATTGTACTCTGAACTTAGTTATCTATCAACTACAGATTGAACTTCGCAACATTACCAGAGTGGGTCAGTGCAGCAAAATAGTTTCTTAAAGAGTGCCTTGTTTCTGGATATAGTTTATGGGACTTTTAAACATGTTTTCCCATTACTCTTATCTGTTGAACTTGCCTGATATGCCACCCAAGTATTTAAAAATCTTAGGGACATCAAAACTAGTCATAAAGAACAGTTTTTGGAGTTGGCTAGACATTTATCTAAAGAAGCATTCCCTGCAGGCAATAATAAGTGTTATTTGATGATTTATCTGATTTTATGATCTATTCTCCTTCATAATTTTGCATCAGAAAATCTGGCAGCAGTTTTGTTTGCTGTGGAAAAGACTTCAGTTTTGCTTTGAATCAAGATGAAATTCCAGAGACCGTTGAATATTATTTTCACTTGACTCATTCTCATTATCCTTCTCTTTGTGTGGAAGATTAGATGAATTCAGCATCATTTTGTGGCTTGAGATTGCTGTAACAGCCATATCTTTTTCACAATATGTTTCCTGTTAATTAATGGTGTTTAATGTTTTATACTGGAATTGCAGGTTGGTTTTGTGACTTTTTTCCTTAGCTCAATCCTTGACAACCTGACATCAACTATTGTAATGGTTTCTCTGTTGAGAAAACTAGTACCTCCCTCGGACTACCGCAAGTATGTGCTGGCAATTCTACATTTTTTTTCTAATGCAATTATAGATATCCAGGAACACTGCCTAAGTTCACATAACAAGTTATTTTCTTAATATAAATATTACTTAACCTGGCTTTTTCTGATGCTATGGTGGTGAACTTTATAATTATCACAAACATATGAGAACTAGAGTTTCTTTGTCAGGGTTGAATTTAATGTATTCAAGAAAAAAAAGAAAAGTAGAAATGCTGAAAGCCAATTCCCATATAAGTAAGCATCATGGACTTGCCATTTAAACTTGGGATATTTCTCTGTTTCATAAGAGGCCTTCATTTGTTCTACTCATATAGATTAACTTGCATGGCTTCAAAAGTTCACCTTTTTGTTTAAATTGTTCTTTTGCCTTTCTGCTGTCTTTCTTCTACTGAAACCTGTCAAACCAGTTCTCTTTAAACTTCTGTTCTGCAACAAAAATAAAACGGAACCATTGCTTGGCTCAGTAAAACTTCACTCAGATGTTTGGATCTTTCTACAGGCTTCTTGGAGCTGTTGTTGTAATAGCAGCAAATGCTGGAGGTGCATGGACTCCAATTGGTGATGTTACCACTACAATGCTATGGATACATGGTCAGATATCCACATTGCCAACAATGAAGGTCTTTATCTTCATCTTGCTCCCCAAGCATCTGTCCCTTGGGATTGAATGCATGATGTATGTTAATATTGTCTATAATGGCATTAGTGTCTTCAAAACAAGGTAGAACTGTATTGCACTGGCGTTAGGATATGTTTCTTGCTTTGGATGCTTATTGAAACTTTCCTCTCTCTTTGGGTCTTTGTGGGAGTCTGTAAAGTGAGGAGCAGGCCCTTCTAGGAATTCTCCAGAAATGAACCGTGTGACAGAAGTTTGGATGGCTTAGTAGAGTTTTACAATTTTAATGAACTCTGCTTTATATGAGGGTGGCGGAAGTTATATTTTTCAAATTTTAAACCTTTTTAGTTACTTGCCAACCAGAATACTATAATGATTCTCAAATAATAGTCATAGGTATATGGGTGTATGGAATTATGCTTCAAAAGATAGGTTTAGTGTTCATCTGCTCCTGAAGCATGCAAATCCTTGGTCTAGCAGTTCTAATACCATGCGTTAATGTATTGTATACGCCTCTATGCATCCTTTTCAGGTTTGATGCTTGGACATTAGAGAGTTGATGTCATTGCTTCCTGGGATAGCAGTGCACTGGCATTCTTCCTCATTTTGTATTTTGTGTTTGCAGAGCTTGTTTCTACCTTCAGCTATTTCTCTGGCTGTTCCGCTGGCTCTTTTGTCGCTGACTAGGTACACTTCTTGCATTGTCAAAGCAAAGCCATGGATTTTGAATTTTCAAAAGTTTTTGACTTCATCAATTAGAAGATTAAATGATATGAATTTCTCTTCTTCCATTCAGCGAAGTGAATGGGACAGGACAGGACTCTCCTAATGTTTTGGCATCAGAACAGATGGCTCCTAGAGGACAGCTCGTTTTCTCCGTGGGTATTGGGGCTCTGATTTTTGTTCCTGTGTTTAAGGCACTGACTGGTTTGCCTCCTTACATGGGCATGCTGCTTGGTCTTGGAGTTCTTTGGATTCTGACCGATGCTATTCATTATGGTGAATCAGAAAGGCAAAAGTTGAAAGTACCACAGGCTTTATCACGGATTGACACGCAAGGAGCCCTTTTCTTCCTTGGAATCCTTTTGTCCGTGAGCAGGTACAGACAAACAATTCTCTGATTTTCTGTTCCCTTTAGGCACTGGAAGGTGATTAAAGTTTTCTTTTTTTAATTTTCGCTTAGCGTCCTTTGAGTGTTAGAATTATCTTGGGGTATTTAAAAAACTTTTAACTAGATATCTAGTTAACAACTTCTGAGTGGCTGCTGATTCATTGTGTTGATGAGCAGTAGATATTGCATAGGCAAATTATACAGACAACTTATGAATCATTAAATCTGTCACATGTATAACATGGCTTGTTAGCTTGTTAACTATTCTTTCCTTTTTTCTATTCTAGCAAGCTCTCTACTCCTGGTATTTGTGGAGTACCATCAAGAGAACACTAATTTGAAAATCTGTGTTCTGGTTGTGTAGCCTGGAGGCAGCAGGTCTTCTCCGTGAAATTGCAAATTTCCTTGATGCTAAAATTCCTAACACTGACCTGATTGCAAGTGCAATAGGGGTTGTATCAGCAATAATAGACAATGTTCCCTTAGTTGCAGCAGCAATGGGGATGTACGATCTCACCTCTTTCCCACAAGATTCTGATTTCTGGCAGCTGATAGCATTTTGTGCTGGTACTGGTGGGTCCATGCTTATTATCGGCTCTGCTGCTGGAGTCGCATTCATGGGGATGGAAAAGGTGGACTTCTTTTGGTATTTGCGGAAGGTATATATATATCATGGTTCCTGTGAAATCTTAGATTGAAATACCATTTTTCTGTTTCGTAAATGAAATCTATTGTCTTTGTGCAGGTAAGTGGTTTCGCTTTTGCAGGTTATGCTGCTGGTATTGCCACCTATTTTGCGCTTAATAGCCTTCACATCTCCCTTCCCACGACTCTTGCTCAATCTACTTTCCTTCCTGGTTCTTAAATTATTTTACTGCTCAGATTTGGGAAACAAACAAGGCAGTGTGTTTCTGATAATGTGGCTTCACATTAGATGAACTGAGTGGAGAATGCAACTGAAAGCCTAATCTGGAGAAATATTGTTACTTGAACGAACAAAAGAAAAGTCTTAGATTTAATAAAATTGTGATTGATCAGATGTAATGCCCTCGAAGATTCACAAATGAGAAGCGGATCCACTGTTCACTTTACCCAGCAGCAAGAAATTTGACCGGAAAATTGATATTTTATGATTACATTTTGATATTTCTGGTCTAAGATATTTTCCATTATTAAGATTTTGAAATGAGAGCGTCTTCTCTTCTACCGGTTGGGATTAATCTTCAGCCGGTCAATCAAGAAATAGCAAATCTTCTTCTGATTTTTTAATGCATTTTGCTGCACGAAGAAAAATTTGACAACTTATTCATTTACAAAAAGACAGGCCTTCTTATGGCAAACTTGAAATAAAAATAACTCAATAAAGTACACAATCCTTTTTCGCAAAGCTGAATTATTCTGTTCTTCTCCCTACTAAAGCTAACCACAAAACAGTAAAAAGGAAATAATCAAAACCGGGCACTACACTATAGTAAAGACACCCATCTCCCACAAGACCAAAACGGAAAAGAATAAGATTGATGGTAGCAGCATCACACTACAACTTAAGGAAAACAAACTCTTCAATGGCCGGAACTTCCCCAATCTTCTTCAAAACTTCCTTGCTGGGTTGGTCGTCAACACCAATCGCCATCACTGCATGCTTGCGTGGAGCAATCCTTCCAACACTCATGAAACTGACATTAACGTTTTCTTCTCCCAAGATACTCCCCACTGTGCCAATCATACCTGGCTGATCGACCTGTCTGCAAAGTATGATATTACCTTCCAAGCTCACATCCACCTCAAAAGTTCCAACCCTTGTCAAATGTGGAATTCCATCCTTCACCCGTCCCTCAACCCTAATCTCCCCAGAATCAGACATGGCACTGGCAAATTTTGATTCAACATTGGCAATCTGAACCTGGATGTACTCAAGTGGATTCTCAGGTGAGCCATCTAGAAGAATGCGTTCTTCAGCTATGCGAAGACCTCTCTGTTTGGCTGTGTAATCAGCATTAACCAAGTTCACAAAAACACTGGATATGGGCTCAATCAGACCCTTGATGATCATTGCGCGAAGGAGCCTAGTGTCCAGGTCATCCGGGGCTCTAGCAGAAGCATATGTAACTTTCACAGTTTTCACACCACTTCCTCCTGTTACTAGTTGGACAGCCAGTCTCCCAAGTTTCTCAGTAAGTTCCACAAATGGTTTCAACTCTGTTAGAACCTGCAATTGGGAATAATGATATAAGTGAAACTTTATGCTCCTTAAATCTTTTCTTTTCTTTTCTCATTTAATTACGTAAATTATGTGCAAAACTTATTTAAGAAAGTTAATGCCAATAGCATGGAATCCATCAGCTAAGGCAACCTGCTTAAATTTGTATATAAAAAATGAATAGGCAAGCCCAAGTGCTTGCAATCAGTACTAGGAACTAATTTGATAGTGCTACACATGCACCAATTAGAAAAAGAAAACAATTGTTTAAAAGTAGGACCCAATAGCACATATAGTAATAGCCTTAAGCATTACTGTATAAAGTGGCCGAGCCTCACAACCAAAAAACAAGTGCATGATCTTGGCATAGCCTGCCACCAATCCTACCAACATTGGTAAAATGAAGTTTCATGTTCTCCACTATAATAACAACTATCTACTAAATCAAGCTAGTCCAATTAGAAAATTATAACAATAAGACAGAACTCATGATATACCTCAGCAGGAACCATCGGTGCATTAACTGCAGTAGCTGCAAGCTCTCCTTTCAAGGCACCAACAACAGCTTCAGCAATTTCAATGGCAACTCCTTCCTGAAATGAAACCCAACATTACTTGATAACATTATTTCAAGATAATAGAAAACATGAGCAAATGTATTATCTGATCAGTAATAAACCTGAGCCTCCATTGTACTAGCACCAAGATGTGGAGTCACAGTAACCCTCTCATGTTGTATCAGCTTGCTGTCTGTTGGTGGTGGCTCCACTGTGAAAACATCAAGTGCTGCCTGTAACAGAGGAGATTGTTTTATTAAATCTTCTTCACAATAAAAACATCATGCTTCAGACTATGAGAATGCTCACCTGCGCAACAGTTCCAGCATCCAGTGCCCTCACCAAAGCTTCCTCATCAATCACACCTCCACGAGCAACATTGACAATTCTAACTCCTTTCTTCATTTTTGCAAAAGTCTCATCATTAAGCATCTTTGATGTGGCAGGAGTAAGAGGCATATGCAAAGAGACAAAATCAGCAGTACCTATAGCTTCATCAAAGCTCACAAGCTCCACACCAATAGCACGAGCACGGTCTGCTGGTGCATAAGGATCATGTGCAATAACATTCATACCAAGACCCTTAGCTCGACGAGCAACCTCTGATCCAACCTTTCCAAACCCCATCACAGCAAGTGTTTTACCCACAAGAGAAACACCCACATATTTGTTCCGTTGCCACTTCCCTATATTTCCCAACACATATGCAAACCAACAAATTAATTAATTTCAGCACACCAGATCTCCGAAATCATTATATCAAGAAATTTAAGTTCATTTAGAAGCTCTGTTCTTAGTTTTTAACACAAAAGTATAATAAACTTTAAACATTAGTAAAACAAATTGACCCAATTTTGAAAACAAATACACAATTCATTTAAGTACTTTCAGTCCATTTGGATTGCAATCTGAAAATAATATTCAACAAACAAATTTATATCAATATTTTAAAAATCTAATAAACATTATTATTATATAGTATTTAAAAACTATAATTTTAAAGCATTTCAACTCATTCGAACTAAATGAGTTCTAAATCAAGTTTCTTGAATCCTTTATTTTCCCCAAAAAAATAAAAGAAAAATGCATGTAAATTATACATGTAGCAAACTAACCGGCTTTAACAGAGGCATCAGCGTGCGCCACATTTCTGGCCATGGCAGCCAAAAGCGCGATCCCGTGCTCAGCAGCCGCAACAGTATTGGCAGTAGGCGCGTTCACAACCAAACACCCGAACTCGGTAGCAGCAGCCAGATCCACATTATCGATACCGACACCGGCTCTCCCGACCACCTTCAACCTCCCACCCGAAGACTCAAACACCTCGCGGCTCACCTTCGTCCCGCTCCGAACGATCAGCGCGTCGCACAACGAGATCTTCGTGCACAGCTCCTCTGGCGTCAAATTATAAGAGCAGTCCACGTTGGCAAAATCCTTCAGCAGATCCAAACCCGCCGCTCCCAGCTTCTCGGCCACGAGTACGGTCGGTTTGGAGGACAGTCCACCGGAAGCCACTATGAGGAAACGAGGTAGGTTCCGCTTACGGCCACTGAGATTAACGGAGAAAACGGGGAAGACAGATTGTTTGGAGGAGAGAGGGAGCTTGAGAGAAGGGTGACGGAGAGTTGAGAAGGAGGATGACGTGGCCATTTTGTTTGACGGCGGAGTCGACGGATGGTGAGTGTAAGTAGAGGGAGATATGGGGAATGAATTTATAGTAGCTGAGTGTTTGGGTGGTTGGCGAGAGTGGCAGGGTTTAAGTAAAAGTGAGGGTTTATGCAGGCGCGTGTGGGGATGTAAATGTAGGAGAGTGGAGGTTGCTGCTTCAATAAGTTTTGGGTTTGGTTTGGTTAACTAATTTAACCTTTTTGGTTTATATTTTACTAATTATAATGATTTAAAAATAACCAAAAAATAAATTTATTAAATGAAATGAAATTTGCAGAAAATTATTACAATTTTCATAATTCTTATTATTAAAATGCACCTTTCTCATGTATTTTTTTACTGACTTACTGCTTCCAATGTTGAAATTAATGCCAAGGAATTAATAAAGAAATAAAAATAAGTAATTTGAAAATATAATTTTAGAAAATAATAAATTTATACAGTAAAAGTGGGAATAGCGACATTGGCGGTTGTTGATAGTAATTACTAAAAATAATAATATGTTGTTGTAACTAAATATGGGTTAAAAGTTTGGTAGAGAAAATTATGACGTGAAGAACACGACATATGACTGACGCGCTTGAGGGTCGCGTACAATTAATATAATAGTGTATGCGAATCCAACAGAGGATCTGAGTACCAAACCCGTGGCCCGTGGGGCCGATATAGGTTGGTAACACTTCGAAAATTTGTATTTTGCTTTCTCAATTTAATTTAATTATCATAAAGTAGGTATATGTGTGCGTCTTAAGACTTTCTACAATTCAGTAAAATATACTTTCCTTTATCTTATTAAAATTACAAATAATTATTTTAATTTTGCACAATAATTTTGTTGATACTCAATTTTGACATCAACTACTCATACATACAAAATACTAAACAGACTTAAAAATTACACGTGAACTAGAAAATGAAGCAAATGGAAGATGATTTTTAAAGTGGTTCGGATGCTTAAAGCAAATCTTACATCCACTGTTATTTTATTGTTCTCTGATTATTTCCTTGCTATTGCCTGTAAGATGTACAAAGATGGAGAAATATTTTGTTTACAGAGAAAAATAAGCTCTCATGTGCCTAACTCTCATATGCTCAGCCTCCTTTTTTACGAAGAGTGGTGTCAATTTATGTACATTTGAGATCAATGTAATAAGTGTTTTTGCAAGTTGCCTTGACACATGAAGAGCTCTCATTCGTCCTTATCTTAAAATAAGATAGGATTGGTATAAAATATCTTTAAGGCGGTATAGGTTTGACAGCTAGTACACTTTGACTTTTAGGCACTTGTTGAGCTGATATCAGTGTGAGTTTTTAAGCACAATAGAACCCCCCCCCCCCCCCCCAAAAAAAAAAAAAAAACCAGAGTTTTTGGAGTGTGTAATTGCACTTCAAAAACTCATGTCTTAGATCTGAATGGTACTATAGGCTGCAGTCTCGAACTAAAGAGCTCGAACTATGTTTGATGCGATCGGGTGCTAATAGCTAGGACTGCGATCTGAGAGCTTAGAGCGATCCGAAGCTGAGCGCGATCTGATAACTGACATGAAATGTCCAATAGATGAATTCCTGGAGGGAGCTAACGTCAGAAGCCCAAATGCACGGGTTAGATGCCTTAAACAGATAAGCCAACTTAAAACAGCCATAACTTTTGATCCGAGAGGAGTTTTGGAGCTTATAAGATATCCACGAAAAGCTTGTTCCGAGTTCTACGTCATGGCAAATGGGGAAACTAGTTAGGGCCATTTTTGAGGCCAAAATAAAGCTGTTTTGGCATGTTTCGGGGTTGTTTAGAGTTTTCTACACGTTTTTTCTGACGCTGGCAGATGGTCACGATTTGATAACTGAGAACTAATTGCGATTCTGAAACCTGAGAACACAACCTGAGGCTGTTCGCAATCTCAAAGCTAAAATTTGATTGCAATTTGAGAGCTAGGAGATGATCACAATCTGATAGGAGCTTGACCTGAGAGTCTAAGGCGTGCGATCTGAACAATGTCATGAACGTGATCTCAAGCAAACGAGTAAGTTTATGAGCTCGATCTGAGATCATAAGGAGCTAGATCAAAGATCATAAAGAGCTTTATCTGAGATCATAAGGAGCTCGATCTGAGATCATAAAGAGCTCGATCTGAGAGCATAAGAAGCTCGATTCGAGAACTCGAGAGCTCTTCACGATCTGAGAGCTTGAGAGCTCTTTACGATCTAAGAGTTTAAGGAGTTCAATTAGAAAACAAAAGGAGTTCAATTAGAAAGCATGAAGCTTGATCAAAGAACACAAGAAGTTCGATCAGAAAGCATGGAGCTTAATCTAAGAACAGAAGGAGTTCAATCATAAAGCGCGAAGCTTGATCTGAGAACTCGAGAAGTTCAATCAGAAAGCGTGGAGCTTGATCTGAGAACATAAGGAGTTCGATCAGAAAGTGCAAGGCTTGATCTGAGAACACAAGAAGTTCGATCAGAAAGCGCGGAGCTTGATCTAAGAATAAAAGAAGTTCGATCAGAAAGCGCGAAGCTTGATCTGAGAACACAAGAAGTTCTATTAGAAAGCGCGAAGCTTGATCTGAGAACACAAGAAGTTCTATTAGAAAGAGCGGAGCTTGATCTGAGAACACAAGATCAACGATCTAAGCATGATCTAAATGATCTGAACGTGTGATCTCAACGATCTTGAACACACGATCTGAGAAATCGGATGCGTGTGATCTGCGATCTAACCACACGATCTGAGAGCTCTAATGCATGCGATCTACGATCTGGCCATGCAATCTGAAGCTAAAGATCAGCAATCTATAGCTGAAGATCAGAGTGATCTGAGCGTGTGATCTACGATTTGACCACGCAATCAGAAAGCTTTGATGCATGGGATCTGCGATTTGGTCACGCGATATGAAGTTAAAGAATAGCGATCTGTAGTTGATGATCAGAGCTCTAATGCATGTGATCTGTGATCTGACCACGCGAGTGATCTGAAGCTGAAGATCAGAACGATCTGAGCATGCAATTTGCGATCTGACCACGCGATTTGAATCTAAAGATCAGCGATATGAAGCTAAAGATCAAAGCAATCTGAGCGTGCGATCTACGATTTGGCCACACTATCTGAGAGCTCTGATGTGTGCAATTTGTGATATGGCCACGCGATCTAAGAGCTCTGATGCGTACGATCTACGATTTGACCACATGATCATAAAGCTCTGATGTGGAATATGTTTCAGTATTTTGATGATAACTTGAGCTGTAGGCCTCGGATTCGGATGATTCTTGGACCATCGGAAAGCTAATTTGAAGCGCTACAACTCTTGTGCTTATCACATCACCAGATTCAGACTCTGTCCTACTCGGATCTCCACATCAGATGACGTGAAGATTTTGAGGCTTGTTGGAGAAACATGGAGAGCTGATGTGAATTATGCCCTTCTTCTAGCGTCAAACTGTTGATGTTCGTTTTTGACACCAACTACTCACACGTGTAAAGCGCTAAGCAGACTTAGAAATTACACGTGAACGAAAAAATGAAGTAAATGGAAGATGATTTTTAAAGTGGTTCGGATGCTTAAAGCAAATCTTACATCCACTATTATTTTATTATTTTTTGACTATTTTCTTGCTATTTTCTATCAGGTGTACAAAGATGGAGAAATATTTTATTTACAGAGAAAAATAAGTTTTCATGTGCCTAACTCTCATATGCCCAGCTTTCTCTTTTATGAAGAGAGGTGTCAATTTATACACCTTTAAAATCAATGTAATGAGTATTTTTGTAAGTTGTTTTGACCCATGGAGAGCTCTCATTCGTCTTTATCTTAAAATGAGATAGAGTTAATATAAAACATCTTTGAAATAGTATAAGTTTGACAACTAATATATTTTATCTTTTAAGTATTTATTGAACTGACATAAATGTGATTTTTTTTTTAAGTGACCAATATCATAAGGCTTCGTTTGGTTCACAATTGGGTGTTTTTGGGAAAAGTTTTCTGAAAAAAGTTAAAAAAAAGTTGAATTGGGCGGGTATTACGATGTAGAATTTATAAATTAATAAAATACCCCTTATATTTGTTTATTTACAAAACACCCCCTATAATAAAATCTTAAAAGTTAACAAAAACACCCCCAACCCAATGTCAAATACGGACAGCCGGCCAACACAGCCGGAGGGTGGCCGAGTTCACTGTATTGGCGCATGACCGGCTGGATCTTGCCGGTCGTGCGCCGATATGGCCTTTGCCGGCCAGATCCACGGTGGATCTGGCCAACAAAGGCCAGATCTACGGCCAGATCTGGCCGTCAACGGCCAGATCTGGCCGTATTTGCTCGTCAACGACGACCAACAAACGGTCGCCGTTGATGGTCAACGACGACCGTTTGTTGGCCGTCGTTATAAACTGTTACGGCCAAAGATCTGACCGTCAACGGCTAGATCTTTGGCCTTAGATCTGGCCTTTTCTGGCCAGATCCACCGTGGATCTGACTGGAAAAGGCTAGATCGGCGCACTACCGGCCAGATTCAGCCAGTAGTGCGCCATCCTAACAGATTCTGGCCATTTTCTGGCAGTGGTGGCCGGAATCTGGTAAATATGAATTACTGGGGTGTTTTTGTAATTTTTAAAAAAATATTTAGGGGTATTTAATTAAATTATCAAATTTAAGGAGTTTAAAAAAAATTGAATAATATTGAAAGTAGTATTCCCAAAAATTAAAATTTTTAGATATTTTACTGTTTAACTTTTTTGAGAATACTAAAAATAGTATTCTGAAAATTAAAACAAACAAGCCATAACATTTTGATAATTATTATTTGCCCACATTAGTGCCGTATTTTTATTTGTAGATTTGAATGAGGATGTATAAAAGGAGAAGTGAATTTGGGCGTGATTACGGCTCGAGGAGTGGACTTGATGGGTATGAAAATTAATTAATGAGTGAAAAGTTTTACTTTTTGGGAGTTGGGACTGGCCAGCAGTTGCGATTTATAATACGACAACGCACCATAGCAAAAGCTGAGATTGAGAATCCCCACTTGACGTTGGAAAAAGACAAGACTCGCCCAATTTTTTAAGGCATATCTTGAAGTTTGA